ATATGATCAAAACTCACACAAACAAAAAACAAACACAAACAAAACAGAAGAAGAAACACAGTCTAAAAAGAATACAAAACAAAATAAAAACAATGCGTAATATTTTCAGTAGTGTGTACACAGCAAAATTTTTGATTTCCTGTTTGGCTTGACTCTCAATACTCGCATTTGTTGTACCCAAACGAAATTTATTATATGAACTATTTATGAAGATAATCAAACGTATTTATAATGTATATTGTAAAGAAATGAATTTAACCGATGGAAAAAAAATAAAATAAAAAAGTTAAGAAGTCGCGCAGAACTCACGTGTTACAAAACAAAAAATAGAAAATAACAAAAAATATAATAAAAACACAATTTAATCTGAATTTAAAAAGAAAAGCAAAGCAAAGAAAATCTGGCTAAAGTATTATTGTTTTTTATCTATTCGATATTGAATTTTAATCTGCATGTTTTTAATTAAGTACATTTTTAATTATGTTTTATGCCTTTGCTGCTTTTGTTTTCAGTTAGCCGAAGCTGCTACTGTTTTATTTGAGTTAAGAGATAAAAAATGAAAAGAGAATTAATAAATAGGAATAGCGAAATCAAATGTGAATTTAATCAAAAGTAGTAAAAGCGAGCATGAAAAGATCATTAGAAAGTCAAAAACAAAGTAAAATACAAAAAATATGAAAAGGACGATTTGAAAATGGAAAAACTAGAATTTTCTAGAGGCATGCATGAGAAGAGTTTTAGTAAGTCGAAAATTTATTGACATCAGTATTACAATAATTTTCTTAGGGATCAAAGGTTGAGTAAAAATAGAAAATAGAAAATATGAAAAATAAGAAAAGAAGAAAAGTTTTATAAAATCGAAAATATATACACAAAAGTAATATTTTTAAACTGAAAAACAGAAAGCAGATTTATCTAATAGAATGTAAAGTCAAGTCAAGATATAGCTATATATACAGAAAGTCTTAAAATATCTGAGTATATTGTAGAAATAGAGACACTTAAGTTTACTTCTTACGGACGGACGGACGGACCCATGTCGACTCAGTGTATGAAATATTTGGGAGTTTTGTTTTATCACAAATTCAACTTGAATAGAGATTCAAATCTAAGCACATTGCACTTGATATAAATGGACAAATTTTATTTACAAATTACTGAAACTGAGTCGACACTTCACCACGGAACAAAGGCTTGCACTGAACTGAACTGGCGATCCTGGCTGTGGCAGTCTATTTATAGGGCAAACATACTCGAAAATTATCCTTTAATCCTACCTGAATCCTTGGGATTCCCAGGAATTTTTCATGAAGCTGCCTGTATTCAAGTTTGACCTTCGCGTAGAGCTGAGCTCAGCACATGGCATTAGCATGCAAAGTTGCCCAAGTCCAGGTAGTCGTTTCTGGATCTACCTAACTATGGATGGCCGCAAGACATATGTTCGCGATTTTCCATTATTCTGAAAATGTAATAAACATATGCTAAAATTTGTATTTTAACACGGAAAGTAAATGTAAGTGAAGATAGAGCTAGGGAGTTTTTTAGGGAATAATAATAATATTTTTAAAAATTGATTTTTTGTATCATTGTAATATTGTAATAATACAAAACATGAATTTTCCTATGCACATTTTTAATATGATTTGATATTTTTGATAATATGGATACAATTTATATTAATATTGTTTATTCTTTTAATTGCATGTACATATATCAATATATA